TAATGACTGAAATATTTTTGATAAAATATTTAATTTATTTTTTTATATACAAAGTAAATAAATCTATAAAATTCAAAAGTGAACATAAAGCACAAATATAATTTTATGAATAAAATATTTAAATGTTTGCTATGCTTTGCTATTTATAACAAGCCTCGAGCGCTCTTGCTTGACAATAGTACAAAAATAAAACAAAAATTCCGAAAAAAAATTGAATTTAAATAATAATGTTAATACAAAAAGTGTAAACAGCCTTAAACATATAGCAATTAAATAAATAATATGCTCACATACATTTATTTATAGAATTTATTATTAAACAAAAACGTATGAATATATATGTATATATATACTGTATATAAAATGCGTATATTATCAGAGGTCACAAGAGTCTTTAGCAAGTCTAAACCAGGTCTCTGGCATAGGGCATAGAAAGCAAACAGCAATTATTTACTTGATGCCAAATGACAACAACAAATAGCAACAGCAACAGCAACAGTAATAACAACAACAGCAGCAACAGCAATAGAAGCAGCAGCTGGTGCATGAGTTAAATCAACAAACTGGAGGCAAAGCAATTCGTATAGAGATAGAGATTGAGGCGCTGCCTGCACCAGGAATTCATTCAATTTGATTATTTCGGTGAGGCCAGTTAAAAAGTTGAGAGAGTATTAGCAAAAGGAGGTGCACTTTGGCTTAATCAAAGGCACAGCAGGGCGTGGCCGCAGGAGTCAAGCAACACGCACTGCCGAAATTCAGTCAAAGAAGTTGCAGCAGCAACAACTCAAGGCTGGGTCATAGGCAACATTGTGTGGCAAACACTAATTGTGCAAGTGTGTGTGCGAGTGTGTGTGTGTGTGCTTTTTGGAACACGTGTAGAGCAAGTTTCTAACAAATCGAATACCTAGTCCTAACCCACGGAATAAACTAGATGGCGGACTGGCTGCCAGACTGCCAGTTAGCCCGCGGCGCAGCGCTTGTTATTTTAATTTGCGCCTAAAAGTATGCAACAAATTGAAAGGATTACACAAAGTTTATGCAATGCAGCAGTCACCGAGCGTGGCGGCAACTTAAAACGACAAGACAAATGCGACAATTTAAGCGCGTTTCGCCCCGTTGGCGCAGCCTCTGGCTCCAGCTCTGCTGCTCTGGCTTCGACTCTTGCTTCGACTCCCTGGCACGCAGCAACAAACTCGCGCAAATTGTTAGTGTTGCAGCCACAGCAACAGCGCCACTAACAAAAACAAGCTAGCTACTCTTACAGCCGCATAATACTCCTTGACTAAACTTCTTGGATGGGAATCTAGACTGAGCAGAGCTAAGCATGGCTCATATATTAATCCTGAGTTAGGAGAGCGAGGAAAGCACGACGCTCTGAGCAACTGTGAACTTTAGAGTACAGAGTGTTGGTAGTCGGATATACCCCATTTAGTGCTAGGCACAGCACACACACTGCACAGCATAAAATTAATGTCAAGCAAAATGGAGAAACAGCAGTAGAGCCAACAGCAGCCCGATTCCGTTGCAGCTGCAACTCCTGCTCCTGCTCCAGCTCCTGCTCCAGCACGATTTTATGCTCTAGCTGTGTTGGACGCCTCTGCAACGGCGTCAGCCAAAAACTGCGCCAAAATGATGTGGGTCGTCGCCGACTTGTTGTGGGCGTTAGCTGCAAGCTCGCAACTTTTGTTGCATATTCAGCAGCAGCAGCAGCAGCAACAGCAACAGCAGCAGCAATTCGCTTCTTGAAAATAAAACTTGGCAACGGCTGGCTTTGAGGCGCTAATATGATCGCATTTTGTGGCAAGTCAGCTTGCAACTGGCAAGCCATAAAAACTGTGTCGATGCTAACAAATTGTGCGTGGCACAGCATAAAAATGTCGCCGACATGCAACACGGGCGGCGCCACGCAACTTAATTGAAATGCCATAGGCCAAAGGGTGTGATGGGAACGGGAATGGGAATGGGAATGTGGCATGCGTATGCCATTTGCTCATTTGCCCATTCGCTCATAGATAACATATGTAGATGGCACCATTGAGGGCCTCACCTGGCTCCGGCTGCTCCCCTGACGCATGCAGCACTCTAATGAGTGCACATTGTGCACGGCCAGGTGCAAATGAGGCTTTGTTCTGGCTGCCTTTTGGGCCACTTTGCGCCGCCTACGCCAGTTGAAAACTGAGTGAGAAATCGATGCAACAGCTCGACAAAGTTCGGAGCACTTGTCATGTCTGGCACGTCGCACAGCAACATTAAAGTCAGTTGAAAAAGTGAATGGGTTTGGGTTTGTGAACCCTTTTTTGTGTCTTGTTTGTTGCTTTTTGAATTGTTGTAGCGGAACTGACCCCGACACGGTCGCATTTTGGGTTTGAAAAGCACTTAAGCTGTATTTTGCATGTTGTTTTTTTTTTTTTTTTTTGTATTTCGGGTAAGCATCTTAACTTGGAGCTCTTCCTCTTTGCGTGTCGATGTTTTGTTGGGCTCTGGGTTATTTAATGAGTCGTTCGCTTCAAGGTAATTCATAAATACTTAATTATAACTTGCTGCCCGGAGCAACCGACGGACCCCAACTTATCAGCTCGTACACGATTTGTATGATTTCGTCCGCATTGATGTGCTTTTGGCTCAGCTTGTTCAGTGGCGCCTGCAGGTCCTTGGAATGCTGCAATAGGTGGCTCGTTATGAAATTTTAATGCTCAGTCGCCGCTTCAACTTGAACTGCACTCACCCGAGCCGTTTCCACCAGCTGCCGGAACTCGTCGTCGCGCAGCGCCCTGTAGAGCTTGGCAAAGTCGCCGCTCTCGCGCACCTTGCGCGTCATCAGGCTGTTGAACTGGGCACGGGGCAGGGTCTGGACGGCCTCGCGGAGAAAGGTGGTCAGATCGCGGCGCAGCATCAGCTCGACGGGCACGACACGCGACAGCTGGAGGGCGCGCAGTCGATTGGGCAGCTTGTCCACCACGCTGGTCACGTCGTAGCCCGAGCCGTACTCCGTCACATAGTCGATCAGATCGGCAAAGTCGGGCGCCATGCGCATTTGCCGCCAGGTCTGGGCGAACTCCGCGCTGCGCACAAAGTCCACGGCCTGGCGGAACCGCGGATCGAATATATAGTAGCGTGCGGCTATATAGCCAATGCGACGTCGCGGCACCAGAGCCATGAAATCCCGCAGATCGGCGCGCAGATCGGCCAGCGCCAAGCAGCCCAAGGCGCTGAGCACCAGCCCGAAGAATAACAAATGCTTGGCCATCACGACACGATTGGCTAACGTCTGGCCAACTCGAATTTGGCCAAGCCACTTATATGGGCCAACGCGCACTATGAGACAATATTTGACTTTGTCAAAAAGCATTGAAGGTGCTAATTGACTAGAGAGAGAGAGAGAAAGCGAGAGAGAGAGAGAGATAGAGAGAGAGAGAAGGAGAGTTATGTACCTGCTTAAGCGATTTATTGAACTGCAAATAGTCAATTAGCTGCTGCTTTTACTTTCACTTGTCCATCGCATTGTTTACCCAATCCAAGAATAGTTCAATTTGAGCAAAGACGAACACGAAATACACTAAAAAACGATACTGATGATTGAATGTCTGAATACTCTCAGGTTAGGTATGGGTTGACAGTAAACTTGTGTAAGTTATCGATTTATACTTGAGAGGGATTTTAGTGTAGAAAATACATATGTATATATAAATATATTTTCTTATATATATGTAACTGCTGCGTCTGGCCTGAGACGAGCTTTGAGCAGTGAATCATTACTTTAATTACAACATCATCTATATATAATCCATCATTATACATTATCTATATATAATATAATATGGCTTAACAGGAAATTACCTATCCATAATATGTTCAAATTGTTGACGAACTATATTATATAATTATTTTTTAGTTTTTTATTATTTATTTATTTATTAAAAAATAAAAAATTTCACATATGCAAAAATTCAAAATACAGACCTTTGGTTATATCTGCTTAGATGTGCACAGAAATAATATAATTTGGCAATTTGCATATGCATAAATGTTGAATTGTTTCAAAAGTAAAAGTAATAGCTGCTAATGAATCTTTAATATTTTGACTTTCCGTCTGTTAGTCAAGTTTATGAGCAGAATAAATTTGTCTTTCTAAATATCAATTATTTAATATATATTACATATATAGTTTATCGACCATTAAATTAGACTAAATATAGATATTATTATAATTTATGAACATCTATTCCATTTCCCACTAAGAAATATTTGTTATACATTACATATGAAATTTATCTACATATATACCTCTTTTTTAATTTATTGTCATCTATGCCATTTTCAACTAATAAATAATCTTTAGTAAATTAATTTGTGTATCTATTGCTTTATTTAATTGACTTTAAATCTAACTTTAATTTAATTTAATGCTTATCTACTATCAGCCAAACTGCGCTTAAGCCTCGAGCGCTTGCCTTGGTCTAAATTTTTATTTTAAGTTTATAAACATTTTATCTTCTTCCGTTTTCAATGAAAACTGAAAGCTGAGGGCAGCCGCCTAAGCCACGCAATCTGCTTAGCATTTCCATGGCAAAGCGCACTTGTAACTATAACGGCTTTCTAGTAAAACGATTTTGAGATGCCAGACTTGACCTTAATTTCACTCACTTGCTGGCCAGATATTTCGCTTTTTGGCCTACACACAGGCATATATATTTTCTTTGAGGTAATTATAGTAGATCCGATTAAGCTGCCACAGTTGGTTACAAAAGTATGATACCGTCCACAGCAGAGAGTATAAAATTCTAGACAATTTGTTGGCTGGCTTATTGAACTTGCAATTGTAAAATATAACAAAAGACTTAAACTGCACTTGGCTGGAAGCCTTGTGGCTCAGACTAATGCATACACACACAGACAGAGCCAGAGAGAGAAAGAGAGAGAGAGAATAAACATAAACAATCAGCTTGCAGGCTAAACAACAATAAATCAAGTGTAAATTCTTTTGTCTGCCCGACTGACTGTAATTGCTCCCATTTGTGCATTAAAAATCATGATTGATTTCAGCCCAGACAGACGCACAATAAGCTCTACTCTATCTGGTCATCGGACAATGTGTGTGTGTGTATGTGTGTGTACTGTGTAAACCAAAAATTAGAATTCAATTGCGTGATTTATGCAACTAGCAAATTTACGACTCGCAGGAGGATTTCATTCCACTGCCCAGATAAATGCACTCCTCGACCAGACCAGRCCAGACCAGCTCCGCATTTACTTTTGTAATTTGCCACAACTCACATTAAAGTCGCCAAGCACGAAACAGGAAAAACTGCTGCAAAGACACGAAAACCACATTCACAACTATATCCCATGTCCAGGATCAGGTCCCGGTCCTTGTCGATGGCTGCGCCTTGGGTCGGCATCAACACTAATGCCTATCTAAATTTCTGTTAATGAAATCTACTGATAGGTCAAAGCTTTTTGCTTCCATCGCTCGACTTCCGGCATTTGGGTCAAAAAGCGGCTAAACAATGAGAGAACTTGATACAAAAATTAACAGGAGCGGCTGAACGGGGGAGCGCAAAGAGGCCCAATTAGGCGAGAGAGTTGATGTTAGGTTTAACTATGCAAAGTTTCTGTTTTTTATATAATTAAAAATTATCATATTTTTGATACAAAATATGAAATAAATAAAATCTTTAAATTTAATAACTAGAAAATCTAGAGCTGAAGGCCTCTGCTGCCATAGCCCCGTACTAAGCTAGCATATAATTTTATTATTAATAAGTTAGCTCTTAAATAAATAAATAAATAAGGAAAAATTCTTTTAATTTAAGAATGTAATACAAATTACAAGAATCTATTAAATTAAAAATTTTAATTTGATT